CCTGTTAAGTAAGATGCCGAAGGCGCATGAAAAAGTTATGGAAGTTCTAAACGAGACAGAAACGAGCAACAAACGATAAGGAAATAATAAAGGGTGAAAGTGAAAAAAAGCAACCTAAACCCCACCAATACCAATAGTTAGTAAAAAATCACGACTCCGAGAAATCTGTAAAGTGCATTCAGCAACTGATGACAGAATGCAAATCAACCATAAAAATAAATAAACTTACTGGAAAAATATTTTTAATCTATACATCGAAGACGCGATCAACATCACTAAAGACAGTACAATTGTAGAGATATATATGCAGGGGCAAAAGATTAGTATGCTTAGATTTGCAGATGATATAGCAGGATTAGCATCTAGCAAGGAGGAGTTAGAGATAGCTTTAAATAAAATGGAAGCGGTATTCACAAAACAGTACTGTATAACAATAAATAAAAGTAAAAAATACTGGTATGCATGGAAAGAAAAAGTAGACAAAGAGCGAATATAAAGATAGGAGACGAAAAATTACAAGAAGTGGCTGATTTAGGAAGTCAGATAAGTCAGGACGGAAGGAGTAGTAGGGATATAAAGCAGAGGATAGCACAGGGTCGTGTCGCCGTTAATAAAAAGAAGTCACTTATATGTTCGCGAACGGTTAGTTTAGAAATTCGAAAAAGGTTGTTAAAGGTGTATGTTTGGAACCCGGCGTTATACGGGAGCGAAACATGGACAGTGGGCGCGGCGAAAAAGAAAAGGTTAGAAGCGTATGAAATGTGGTGTTATAGGCGAATGATGAGGATACCGTGGATAGAGGTTAGAAAGAATAGAAGAACACAGGACTCTATGGAAGTCAATAAGAAGATTAGCTCAGAAACAAGCTACTAGTTTCAGACCTATCACGCTACTTAAGATTATGAAAGAAGTTGCTGAATGAATAATCTATAACAGAATAAAAAAATGGACCGAAGAGGTGATAATGTATTTCCAATATCTTCGTTAAAAACAGAGGCACTACGACACAACTTGCGAGATCAACTAACTACATATGTGATGCGCTGGGAATGGGAGAGCACGTAGCAATGGTTGCAACGGATCTTTCGAAGAAAGTATTTAGTATGAATTCTTAATAAAAAGAATGGAAAATATGGGAGTAATAGCTAACATCATCAAAATAGTCAAAAATTACTTACAGGAGCGTACCATTAGTGGTAGGCAACATTGTACCCGTGAAAAACAAAGTGAAATACCTCGGCGTTATACTAACAAAACGACTTTCTACAAACACTAAAAACTGTTGCCGTGCAGCTAAATGCAATAATCGGTTGGCGCGCTAATATCAATACCGATACTCCACGTAATTAACGCGTGCATCGTACCCATCCTGGATACGGCACAGTACAATTACTACCGCGAATTAGTAAACCAAACTTTAAGAAACTGGAGGTTTTCATTAAAAAAATCTACAAAACGGAAGGACAGTTTCCATGAAGCCTACATAACAAACAACTATTGGAAATGCTTGACATGGACCCTTATTACATTGGAGTGGCGGACCTGCAGCGCAACATGTTAGAACGACTTCGACAACTGGAAGTGGAGGAGATCCTTAGGGATAACATTCTACAGTACACCAAGTTTAATCAGCATAGTGTACTTACGCCCACAAAAAGGTTAGGAGTGGAAATCCTGGCACTGCCGAGCCAAACCATGCGTAAACTCCCGCTATCAAGGAGACCGCAACAAGCGGCTAGGCTCGGGCGACTCTGAAGTATGACAACCAGGCGTCATACGACCAAGGCCATAAATAAATCCATACAAGACCTGATATATAATAAGTAAATTAATACATTTTAACCTCACAGATTTTTGTCTATGAAGCACGTCAATGGCGAACCGAGGACATATGACTACTACTCTCATAAAAATGGAGGACACCGTACATGCCGGTCCCATGAATATACAGAAATATATACTGTATGACTTTTGTGAACTTTTACAACATTCTGGTAATTAATAATTTATTCTCTACATTCATTTTCTCTTGCTTTAAATAACTTGGTATCTTGTGAGTAATTATTCCCGTAAGCATGGTGTTACCTGCCACTTAATCTAAATTACAATTAAGCATTTTTAAGAGTTCGACACCTAATATTATATATCTAAAGAAGTACCTAAGCTAGCAACGTAAAACATAACATCTTATTCCTGGAATTTAGTGGAGATTGACTGTAGATTTGTAAACGCATGAGCGTTTAAATTTAAAATTTTGACTGTTTTGTTTTTGTCGATTAAAATTTCGTGTTTACATTTTAGAAGATTAATAACTCTTCCTGTGCCAGTTAATAATTATAGAGGCATACCCTTTATTTTGGTAGCAATAAATTGGAAACTTTCACCCATAATTTTCACGGTATTAACTCTAAAATTATTTGGAAGGGGTAAGTATTTAATTGAACGAAAATGTCAAGTTTAAATCATCAAATTCAATTTCGCCTATGGAGTCCTGATCTATTTCGTCGATATCTTCATTTTATATTGTAAAAGTATTAATTTTAGGAAATCCTCTAAATGGAGGAAAGGAAAAATCAAACCTAAATGTAAACTCATCCTCTCCTAATTACAACTCGTTCTTTTTCTCAATATTTCTTTTAAACGGATCACTGTATCTCTACTTCCACTTTCTTCCCCTATATTCGTATAGGGTGTCCCAAGCAAGCGGATTTCTTCAATAACTGCTTTATAGTTGAAGATATCAAAAAAAGTATCTTACAAAAATGCTACCATATCCTAAAATTATTTTCGATTATACAGTGTCCCATTTTCCTGGAGGCTACCTGACTAGCACCATTTTTTCAAATGGAATGCCCCATTTTTTATTGCATTTTTGAATTCCTCGTTATATTTAAATACCACTTTGCTAACTATATGTATTATGTCTAAATGCACCAATTTCGATAAAATTCACACTAAATCAATAAATAGGTAGTTGCAGTACTCTGCGCCATTTTGAATATCTCCGACACAAAAGCACACAGGGGTGTGCTATTTTCACACATTGCTTGTGGAAGAAATAACTCATTGAAATCTACCACTAAATTGTTTCGAACTATATTTTTTTTTTAATGGAAAGCTTTATTTTTTGTCAGCTCATCATGTGCAGAATTTTATTTTCTTTCGTCCAATATAAGGATGCTACCACGACTAATACTTCTTGATAATTTTTTTTATAATACTGATTTGTATCTGAATATTAAGTACGCCTTGGTCGGCGATTCGCTTTTATTCACTTTTGTTTCCTACGAACATCAATTCCGTGTGCTTGATATGGTGCTAAGTAACTTAAAACGTGAGATACAAATATTAATTTCCTTCCATACAGATTTAGAGTACTTTCTAGGTGCAGACTCCGCTAGTAACAAAACACTGTAGCATCCTGCGAAAAACATCTACTAGAGGATTACATCTGTTTGATTCAAAACCGTAGACAAGATAATTCATAAATTAACAATGTATTTTAAAACGAAACGTTACTTAGCACCCTTATAAAGCATACGGAATTGACGTTCGAATCGCCAACCAAGGCATACTTGATATTCTTATATAAATCGGTATTACAAAAAAAGTTTAATTTTCTCAAAAGCTATTAGTCGTAGATAGTAACATCCTTATATTGGACGAAAGGAAATAAAATTCTGCATATTATGAGCTGACAAATAATAAAGCTTTCTATTTAAAAAAATATAGTTATGCCAGTTCTAAATAATTTATTGTGGAAGTGGGAGTTATCAATGAATGTGAAAGGAACATGTTTGCGTTAATAGTGGAATTGTTGGCCATTTCTTCCACAAGCGATGTGTGAAAATAGCACACCCCTGTGTGCGTTTGTTTCGGAAATATTCAAAATGGCGTAGAGCAGTGCAACAGTCTATTTATTGATTTAGCGCGAATTTTATGGAAATTGGTGCATTTTAGACATAATGTATGATTAACAAAGTGGTATTTAAATTTCACGAGGAATTTGAAAATACATTAACAAATGGGGCATTTCATTTGAAAAATGAAGTTAGGTTGCTCTTATGAAAAATGGAATACTCTGTATAATCGAAAATAATTTTAGGATATAAATATACTTGTATGGTAAGTTTTGTAAGAAAATTCAACTATAAAGCAATTATTGAAAAAATCCGCGTGCTTGGAACATCCTGTATATATAAATGTTTCATTCTTTCTCTGCATACCCTTTTTTTCTTTATCTAATATTTACACCCTTTATTTTATCATTTCCCACTCTAAATCTTACTATTACATCAATATCTTTCATCTCCTTCACATATTCTGTCACCCAGTCATCCGTCAATGCTCCGACAACAACACCTTCAAACTTTTCACATATCTCCATTGTTTCATACCTTTCTTTGTTATACCTATTTCTCGTTTCAATTTTTATAATCGTCTTCGATTGTCAGAAAGCATAAATACGTTCAATACCAAAGTCAAAGACTAAAAAACCAAAAAAGATAAAAACCATAACGGCTAAAAATGACTAATATATGTTCCGACAAATAAGTAAGGAATTCGCAAAAAGACCCATTACAAACGTCAATACTTTAATTACTAAAACTAATGTGAATATTTAATGTAATAACTGTAAAAAACAGAATTCATTCCATCGTTATTATGCTGAATTTCTTTCTTAACGAATAAACTTGTACAACCTAAAGTTTTTCTACTTTTGAAAAATACGTATATTTATTTTTAATTCCATTTTAATTGCACCATCACAGGTTTGCTTTGTTTTTTCATAGACTATTGACTCTAATTCAAGAACAAGAAATGAGTATTCAAGATCTTGAGTAAGCGGTCTTAACAAGATATGTTTTTCAACTTGTTTATCTTAATATTGTTTCGCATCTCATATATGACCATATTGTTCTTGGTTTTCAAAATACATTCTTTACTCTCGCAGCAGCCTTAATAATTATAAAACATAAAATTTAAATAATATACAATACCTGAAATATTGCTTCTACCATAGTCATAGTTTTCCCAGTACCAGGGGGGCCAAACACCAAATATGGCGCCGGAAAAGATGTTTTGGATACAATATGTTGCACAGCTTGTTGCTGTTTGGGGTTCAAATTGCCAATACTTACATGAAAAAGTGAAATGCTTAACCTAAAATATATAACAAAAACGCCAATTAATATGTTAATATGCATTACTAAAATGATACGAAGTTTAATCTTCTAAAGTTAATAAAAGTGTTTACTTACATATCCTTCAGTAACTGACTTTTATACCAACTATCAGGAAAAAAAAATTTTTGGACTTTATGTTGCTGTATAAGTTCAATAGCTTGATGTTCACATCGAAGTGTTCGTCTGTTTACTGAGAAATAAACGGTATAAGTTGCGGAAGGAGAATAAACTTTATTGGCGAAACTGAAAGTAATTTAGAAATTGCATTACTTATTTACCCTAAATTAGAATGTTTTAATTTGCTTCACAAATACCTTTTATCGAAACCTAACACAACACTATCAGCTTTTACGTTATGTATTATCCCTTCATATTTTACAAGCGTATTAACATTTTCTTCTTTAACAAAAACAGAATCACCGGGAACAGGAGACGGCCTAGATTCAGCTAAACCTACAACCTAAATAAATTTGAATAGTATGATGTATGCACGGACGTACGCAGGATGCATAAAACAATATGGGAGATTACTGATGAGCCAAATAAGTGAAGTTATATTATTGAAAAATTGCATCTGTATTTTATACGTACATATTATGCATATGTATTGTATTGTATTGATTACTTGTATTCATTTACACGAAATTAGAGTACGGAGACTCTGCGCTTATTATTAAAATTAAGTATAATAGTTTAATAAATATAACTTAATAATAGTTCCTTAATTACGCAAGATGTTGATTGCGTCTTTCATTACTGTTGCTTTTATTACGGTTAAAAATACTTGATCTGATCTTTGAGTCTAAAGTACAAGATAAGAGTGTAACTGGAGAGAAGAATATGAAGGAAGAAAACAATCTTAAAATAACATATATCTAATGTATTTTATAATTGTTTTACTGATAAGGACAACCATTTTCCTAATTTTGCTTATATCCAGATTATATAAAATCGCCTACAGTAGGGTCGCGATAATAAGAACACCAAAAACTTATACCCTGTTCGGATGTGTGGAGCGTTAGGATTACAGTATGTAGATACTTCGAAGTTTTTTTTTTAATGAAACAAATATTTTTGTAATTGAAGGTAACAAATAAATTTTAATTAGTAAGTATTTTAGGCACATATATGTTATTACACATTTTTAAAAATCTAGTATTGTACTTTGACGAGTAGTAATAATGCAATAGATTTTTTCTGAAATTGAAATATCTACTTCATTCCAAGCACTCATTTAACGGAGACATAACTCCAGTATGTTTCGATTCTTCAAATACTTTTTCGCTTTCGCTGTTATTCTCATTTAGTACTTGTCTGAATATGTCTTCATCAGTTAATGGCTCCTGACAATCAATGTTATCATCGGTGGATAAGAATTTGTTAATTTCCTCTTCCCAAAAGCCTCTGCTACGGAAAATATTCAATGGAAGATCATCTTTAGGACTAAGCTGACCCAAATCTTTGCGAGATGCGTTTTCTGGTTCAAATAACGAGGACCACAGAGGTTTCCAAGACTTTTTAATTAGATTTGAAGACAGTTGTTGTCAACTTTGAGCCAGAGAAAACACGGCATCTTTCATTGTTTTTTTAAAAACTTCTAGATATTGTGCACTCTGGATCAACTTCTTGTTACCCATTATCGCGTAACAGTTGCTTGTGTACCATTTTAATATTCTGGGCCAGATTTCGGTCTATGGGTTGAATTAGGGTTGTACAATTAGGCTACATGTACAGAATAGTGAAATTTTCGTCAATCGACTGCAGATCTTCTAGAGGATTCACTGGTGCATTATCAAGAACTAAAAGTTCTTTTCTGATAAATATTTCTTGACTTCGAGAATAAAATGTCCCTTAACCCACGCATTTTTTTGACCTGTGTAATGAACTGGTAACTTTTTAACTGTTGCAAATGCATATGATCTTTGTGCTTTACCTACAAACAGCAGGGACAATTTGTGTTCCGCTTGCGCACACGGCATAAATGTGATCCTCTCCTTCGATATCTTTGAACCTGGTGCACTTTTCTCTGACCTAAAAACTAATGTCTTATCCGGTATCACTTTCCATTACAAGCTTCATTCATCGGGCTTATAAATGAAGGCTTTCTCCCTAATTATGTCCGTGAATTTCTGCTGCTTCACAACTTCTTCATTTTTCGCCACTAATTGTAAGTTTATGTAGGAGTAAACCATGCTTTTTTTTGAATTTGTCTAATTATCCTCTACTAGCAATAAATTCTCCATTTCCAAGTCTTTCATGTAAAAAAATTGGCTTTTCTCATTACTATATCACCTGAGAAAGAGATGCTTTTCTTCGCTGCTCTAAAAACCACGTAAATAAGACATCTTCGAGCAGGGAATTTGTAGGCGTTTTTAAAGTTTGTCTGGACTCTTTTATGTATTTATTACAAATTTTAATAAGACTTTCCAACGTTATACCATTGCGCTCACCATAGTGGGATAAACAAAATAGCAGAACGATGCACAACGAACGAAAAATCGACGTTTGGCACCTAAAGTGAATGACACAGCACTGCGAATTCATTTAATCACTGGTTAATAGCGTATTGCAAGACCGCGTGATAAGTGTTCGGATAAGCAGGGATTAGGATTATCGAGGTTCTATTGTATGTGTTAAAAGTTTTATTTTCATTACTAGATAATTTTCTTAATTGATCCGGATTTCGTGATTGATGACGACTGGAACTTCATTGAAATTTATTGTTTAAATATAATCGTTCTCTGCAGTCGGTTGAGCTCGGTTTGTATTTGATTTTAAAAATCGTTTAACTCTGCTAAAATACTTTTTGTTTCTTTCCCGTGTACTTTTACAATCGGGATAATATTCAACTGAATTTTCTTCATATTTTCTACGATTTCATGATAGCAATTTTGACTAATTCGAAATGGTGTTCTTTTAATAGCATTGTACAGCTGGTACATGATTTTCAGAATTCTTTTATTCTGAATAGTTGTACTTCACATGGTGATTCCTCAGAAATGTTCCCGCTAATGTCATCTGATAAATTTACCTTGCATCGTTAAAAATATGACAATTTCGGAATGTTCACATATTTGGCTCATTTTTAGTTCAAAATAGGTAAAGTGGGGTTATAAAGTAGCAAATTTAATTTTGTACAGAGATTGGATAAGCTTCTGGACGAAAGAGTGTAAGTTGCACATCCATTATTACAATAACTAACAATTTTATACAAGAAAATTTTGAAATAAAACAGTGCGTAAAATGACTATATAATATGCAAATAAATGCTTGTTGTTAATTTGAAAAATATTTGGTGTTATAGCGATATGTAATAGTGTAGGTATCAATTTATGCAAATGAGATGGTTTTTAATATTTGTTGTGGTTCATCAAAAAGTAATACCGCATCTTCCAAGATCTTTTGAGAAGCTATTAAAACTTAATACTTTCTTTGTATAGGTTAAATTTTAAAATACGTCATTGCTTACAGGCATAATTTGCATAATTCTAAGTACAATTTCTTCGTAAACATATATTTTCACCTTAACTTTGAAATATATTGTTTTTCGGATCATTTTTGGCAAATAGTTTATGTACATGTAGAGAGATGTCAGCTAATACATCTAATTTTTTGTTTATCTGTAACAAAACAAATTTATTTAATTTGAAATACTTCAAATAGTACAGTAAGGTATTGAGTGCGCGCGTTAGCGGACACGATTTACTAGTAGGTATTATTAAAAGAGGATTATTAAACGTTTTGGGAATTGGAATAAAATTCATTACAGCCAATCCTGAAAACGATAATTTAGAATAAATAAATTATAATATTAGAGTTCTTGAAGAAAAACAAAATGAAATTGTGCAAGTACAAAATAAATACCCATCAATTTCGAACGAAATAACTAAATTAAATAAAGATACAACTGATTCAAGAATGCATAAAGAATGCTACACTATTCATGACGAGCAAAACAAAAGTTGCTATAGAAAATGAAGAAATACAACATTACATTCTTTTAACACAGGAAATAGTAGATATTTTATAGATAAAAGAGTCGTTATAGTAGCTAAGAAATATATGTAACTGGAGAGAAGAATATGAAGGAAGAAAACAATCTTAAAATAACATATATCTAATGTATTTTATAATTGTTTTACTGATAAGGACAACCATTTTCCTAATTTTGCTTATATCCAGATTATATAAAATCGCCTACAGTAGGGTCGCGATAATAAGAACACCAAAAACTTATACCCTGTTCGGATGTGTGGAGCGTTAGGATTACAGTATGTAGATACTTCGAAGTTTTTTTTTTAATGAAACAAATATTTTTGTAATTGAAGGTAACAAATAAATTTTAATTAGTAAGTATTTTAGGCACATATATGTTATTACACATTTTTAAAAATCTAGTATTGTACTTTGACGAGTAGTAATAATGCAATAGATTTTTTCTGAAATTGAAATATCTACTTCATTCCAAGCACTCATTTAACGGAGACATAACTCCAGTATGTTTCGATTCTTCAAATACTTTTTCGCTTTCGCTGTTATTCTCATTTAGTACTTGTCTGAATATGTCTTCATCAGTTAATGGCTCCTGACAATCAATGTTATCATCGGTGGATAAGAATTTGTTAATTTCCTCTTCCCAAAAGCCTCTGCTACGGAAAATATTCAATGGAAGATCATCTTTAGGACTAAGCTGACCCAAATCTTTGCGAGATGCGTTTTCTGGTTCAAATAACGAGGACCACAGAGGTTTCCAAGACTTTTTAATTAGATTTGAAGACAGTTGTTGTCAACTTTGAGCCAGAGAAAACACGGCATCTTTCATTGTTTTTTTAAAAACTTCTAGATATTGTGCACTCTGGATCAACTTCTTGTTACCCATTATCGCGTAACAGTTGCTTGTGTACCATTTTAATATTCTGGGCCAGATTTCGGTCTATGGGTTGAATTAGGGTTGTACAATTAGGCTACATGTACAGAATAGTGAAATTTTCGTCAATCGACTGCAGATCTTCTAGAGGATTCACTGGTGCATTATCAAGAACTAAAAGTTCTTTTCTGATAAATATTTCTTGACTTCGAGAATAAAATGTCCCTTAACCCACGCATTTTTTTGACCTGTGTAATGAACTGGTAACTTTTTAACTGTNCTAGCAAGGAGATCGGGCTGAAACTATAGCTACAAGCTATCCAAGGATGGTACTATAGAATGTCACCTCAAGGTAGGCCTAGTGGCGTCATCTCTTGGTTAGGCCGGAAACTTATCAATCCACCCTCGTATATCGTACTAAAATAAGAATATAAGCTCCATATATCTTTTAAGTGCAAACAAGAAAATTTTCAGGCGCCTGAAATTAATGACACGAAATAAATATAGATAAAATATACTTTTTGAAACCAGACTTAATTATTCTGAAATTCCAGCCCTCTGTCTCCCTGCGTACGTCCATATACGTATGTATCAACAATATAATATTCATACCCTCAATTCTAAACAAAATGGAGGTAAGCCGCTGGTTCTTACAAGTTTTTGACCTTGTAAATTGTATCTGCTTAAATCACTTTTAATTTTATGTTCTTCCATATATAACAGTAACCTCAAAAGGTCACAATAATTATTTACCGTTAAACAATTTTGAGGATCATGAACATTTAGCATTTTCCTAAAATAGTATAATTTATTACTACTAGACTGGCCATAAATGAAAAAGGGACTCACACCAATTTACCACAACTAATTTTCCTACTGGCAAACTGGTGTGAAGTCTTTTCTTCACTTTTCATTAGTCAAAGTAAACCACTTGGGTATTGCTTAAAACTTACGTTATTCTCTTTAATTCAAATTCTTGCATTAGAGTTAAATTGGGATGTTTTCTCAAATTCTTTGTTAGTAAAATTCTTATATCATTAGGCATAAGATAATCTTTAATTGCAATAACATTGCGAAAAGATGTCTTTATTCTGGAAAATAAAAAGTTTCTATAATTGTATTTAAATAAACACAAATGAAAATTTACCTCCTTGATGTCCCGGACACAATTTTATTTCGAGATACTTCTTCCATAAACTCACCTTCTGGTAGAAAAGCGTCTTGCAAACGCACATAATTATTACACACGTCCTAAAAAAATAATGTATGAGCTTTGTAATTTACTATTAATCTAATTAAAAATTAAAAATGATGCAATAAAAAACGAACACAGTAACTTACTAGTTTTTTTACGACCTGGATTATCTTTTTTTGTTCATTTCTATAAACAAATATAACAACAAATTCATCTACTGTAATTTTTTTATGCAGAATAATACGCCCTGTGATAGTTGTTTGCCTTCCGAACAATAAATCGGTTGGTTTGCTTATTTCCACCACAATATTTCGGAAAGGATTAACTACATCGATTAATTTAGTGCTAGTTGTAGTGTAATTGATAAAATGAAAAAAGACGTTTATTTCATTAGAGCAAATGTTTCTTATTGTCATGTTTTCTATAATTCCCTCCGCTTCATTAACCAAATCAAACCTAAAAAACAAACATAACCATTTACGAGCACCTGCGTATACATCAAGTAATTACTTATTAATTTATTTACAAGTAGCCTAATATATCCTATATTATTTATTAAAGGAGCAATGTTTCTATATACAGTGTGAATTTTTATCTTAGGATAATGTAATATCATGATTGAATCTGGTTATTTCTGAAAATGGTTTAGATAGTAGTTTTCGAAGGAGCTATTATTTGGTGATCTTAGATGTGACCTTGAGCTCGACATTTCATAATGGACTTGGGGCTTGTTCAGCAATTTTTTTAATTCATAAATCGAAAGTTCAAGTAAAAAATAGATCTGTAAAAAATTTAAATTTTGTTCGCAAGTTTAGTGTCTTAGAAACTATTACGTGCCTCTTCTACTAAAAAGGGGCGTGGCCAGGCGATACCTCATTAAAGGCATAGGCTTGGTGATTATACGCGACTTAACGCTAATTATTAGTCGTTACAGGCTGTATTTACAGAGTATTCTTTGTAGGTATACATTGTTCGATTCTATATGACTTCAAAAATGTGCTTGTTAGTATTGCATAATTTTAGAAAGTAAGTTTTCCATCCGACTGACTAAAGGCTATTGAGAATGGCACAGCAATATATCAAACAGAGATATGACTTTATCATCGAAAGCTTTTTTTTTTTTTTTTTTAAAAAGCTGTATTAGACAATACATACTACGATAGCACAGTTGCAATTTTTGCTTTTGAGCCTTTTAATTTTGTTTTGTCTTTCGACATAGGTACCTAATCTTTGTCTTTATTTAAGAAAGTAATTTCGATTGTTTTAGGATTAGATTAGTATTAAAATAGTCCATAATTTTAAATGTATCAACTTGTGATATGTTAATAAAAACAACTTTATCGTTAGTTAAATACTTCTGATTACCACGTTTTATCTGAACGGTTGGTAGCGGTCACGGTATCTATATCTCCGAGTCCAGAGTTGCGTACAGTGACGTCATTAGCTGCCGCACTATGTTTGCGATTAATACAAATTTCAATCTCTTGTATCTGAAAAACTAAAATAGCTAATAATATCAAATTTTAAGGGCATAATGAAAACTCGGCTGTGTTTTTTCATTAATACAAACTCAAAAATGAAGAATATTATGTTCCGTAATTCTGGAAAATAAATAAGCAGAGCTAGTTTATTTTACAAAATTATTTAATCGTATGAGATTTAAATAGATTTCATTATTGCTGTAAGAAAGTTATTTATTTGGCATTTATTTACTATTTGAGCTAACCAAATATTAATGACATATATGTAGAATGAAACCAAAGAGGGCCGTTAGAAGAGGGCTTTTAAGTTAAAGTCAGTGGTGAAGTGGCAGTCGGCGTGTAAGGATGTGTAAAGCGCCTTAAGGGCGGTTGGTTACTCTGGTGAGAGAGTAAGATGCCACAGGGGCAGTGGTGTTACTCTGGTGAAAGAGTAAGGTGCCGTAAGGGCAGTTAATATTTGATAATATTGAGAAAGTTGCTTATTGTGCACATATGTATTTTAANTTAAAATAGTCCATAATTTTAAATGTATCAACTTGTGATATGTTAATAAAAACAACTTTATCGTTAGTTAAATACTTCTGATTACCACGTTTTATCTGAACGGTTGGTAGCGGTCACGGTATCTATATCTCCGAGTCCAGAGTTGCGTACAGTGACGTCATTAGCTGCCGCACTATGTTTGCGATTAATACAAATTTCAATCTCTTGTATCTGAAAAACTAAAATAGCTAATAATATCAAATTTTAAGGGCATAATGAAAACTCGGCTGTGTTTTTTCATTAATACAAACTCAAAAATGAAGAATATTATGTTCCGTAATTCTGGAAAATAAATAAGCAGAGCTAGTTTATTTTACAAAATTATTTAATCGTATGAGATTTAAATAGATTTCATTATTGCTGTAAGAAAGTTATTTATTTGGCATTTATTTACTATTTGAGCTAACCAAATATTAATGACATATATGTAGAATGAAACCAAAGAGGGCCGTTAGAAGAGGGCTTTTAAGTTAAAGTCAGTGGTGAAGTGGCAGTCGGCGTGTAAGGATGTGTAAAGCGCCTTAAGGGCGGTTGGTTACTCTGGTGAGAGAGTAAGATGCCACAGGGGCAGTGGTGTTACTCTGGTGAAAGAGTAAGGTGCCGTAAGGGCAGTTAATATTTGATAATATTGAGAAAGTTGCTTATTGTGCACATATGTATTTTAAGGGTTGTTGTTGTTATTGTTGAAATGTGAGGCCTGTAGAAGTGTAAGGCCAACGGCCGACGGGTAGGATGTGCCTTTAGGTGGAGTGTAAATCCTGTGCGTCAGGTAGTCCGTTTGCAAATCTAGCTAGATATGCCTGGAGTGGCAGTGCACCTGTGGGTGACGTGTTAATGAGAGTAGAAGTCCACTCCTTGACCTGCCGTATACAGCAGTGGCCTGAGTGTCAGTAAAGCTGCGGTGTTATCGGCACAAGGGCGTCCAGTAGAGGGATAAGTCTCTACACATAGCTTGCCAATGTAAAGATAAGCATTGGGAGCGATCTATGCATTAGGCCAATGCATAGAATGCCTGGTTATTTAGCTGAGGCCTAGGTGTGGCAAACACCTATTGTTTCAGGCAGTCTACAATCGTCATCAGGGATTCATCGTTGGACACAACTACATCACTGAGTTCGACTACGTTGGGACATCGCAAGGGCGGCCCCAACTGGGGCGTCGGCCCGCGTAAGTGCTTAAACTGTCTATCGCATTGTATTGTTCTAATTGAGGGTTTTGTTTATTTCCTTACATGTTGTTTTACGTTCAATGCTGCATGCCACTTCGCAAGATGTAACTCTCGAGGGGAACCCACTGGTTGCTATGTAAAGCTGGTAGGAGGAAATAGCTGTGTGGCTAGTGGTATATATATATATATGTAGGGATTTTTCGCGATCAGTGACGCGAATGTTTGGTTTAGTTCGGGTTAGTGCGCGGGGCGAGGAAAAAATTGATAAACAAATGATCGGTGACGCGTACGGAAGGTGTGAACAACGAGAGTGGACGACGAACCGCGAAACTAAGAAGACCAAAAGTAAGACGATTAAGACGTTACGGTTAATTTGCATTTTGTTTATATTCTTTCATTGATTGTTTTTTTTTTATTGTGTTCATTTTCTCAATTATTAAAAATATCGTCTGCCTACTACATTAAAACCCACATATATATACATAATAGGTGAAAAATATCATCATCCATAATAATAATAAAAATTGCTCTTACATTGCAGAAACTTAACACGATTAGCCACGTATGTTTATGTTTCATGTATATACTTCTTTGTAATATGTATACCTAACATATAAAAGATGTGAGAAGGCAGAGATTAAGTAATAAACAATCCTAACAAAAGAAACAACTAAACCAAGAGGACCAAATACACAACACTTTGAAAAGCATTGTCAGAGCATTTTCAATGCAGTCTCGTGTGCTATTTGGGATAAGCCCTCTTGGTATAATTATTATTCAGTCTTTATATTTTTCTGAAAATCTAATATTAAAGAAATTATAAGATTTTAAAATAATTTGGAAGGAATTTATGAGTAATTAATAATTAAATATTCAATAATAATTCATAAATAAATTTTATGTATAACTTTTTGTTTAAAAATAGTATTTATTTGTTCAACAAACATACTGTAATTCTAACGCTATCGTTAGATAAATAACTGTAAACAGGGTGTAACAGAAATAAGTGGCAGGAGGTGATAGAGCACTATAAAATATGAAAATTAAGTAAATGATTGTATGTTAAAATAAGTAATAAACACTTGGTAAAGTTTCACAAATCGACAGCTGTTACATCATCATCAAGACTGAATTCTTAAGGGTGCTAAATGTTTTTATTGTAATCTAGGTAGTTAATTTATTACAGATCTAATATTCCTTATAATCTACGTGTTTATTTGTGACGTATTTAGCTTGGGAGTTAGCTTCCTGAAATTTTAATATTTCCATGTAGTCTAGGCGACTGTTTTTCGGTTCGGAATGAAGAATTTAACATAATTTAAATCCTTCTGATGGTCATTCTCTAAGCAATGTATAGAAAAGGTGTTTTGGATCGATTTTTTGTGTTCATTTATTAGATTAAGTCCCGTCTGCCCAATATAAATTGCGGCACAATCTGCACATTTGAATTCATACACTTCATTTTTTTTCCAAATATTTTGTTTATCTTTGTTGTTAACTAGGAAAGTCCCTAAATTTGTTTTATTACAGCAAATTAGAGTTAGTCCTATGTTTCTAAGTCTCTTTTGTATTTTACCGCTTACATTTTTCTTATAATTTAGATAGCACTATTTTTTAGCTATATTATCATCTGTTATTATCTGTTGCATATAGTTTGCTTAATAACAGTTTATTACGTGTCTTGGGAACTGTAATGTTCGTGGGTTTAACAAAATTTAACTTCTAAGACGAAAACTATTTATTTACACTAATTATTGTTGAACATAAAAACAAAAAACACTATTAAATTATTACTAAACTTAGGTAATTATCACTATTCACTGCGCTATTTATTTCACTTGTATCACTGTCAATTTATTTCTTGATTCATTTCTGCAAGGGTCAATTTATTTCTACCCTTTTCGGCGATCGTCTCCTCCTTTAAATACTCTTTTGTCTTTTGTTTCCTTTCGGGAACCTCGAGTCGTCCGGAAAAGTTTCTTTTTCTTTGACCTGTTTAATTGCTTTCCCAGAACGCAAGTATGACACACACATTTACAATTACGGAGCACATGAAGAATCGATAAGCTGCTCACACACACGTGTGTCCGATCGCACACAAACACGCTCTGCCCCTTCCTTAAGGATGTTTCGTCTTGAAACATTTTCACTCTCCGTTTCGCAGGATCATGACGAAATCTGTAGTTCTCGCCTTCACGACATCCGCTCCGGGAGTAGAAGTATTAGTCCACAGTCTTCTCAGGATTGGTCCGATTCGGGTTATT